CTGGAGGACTAATACTACCCAATTTCAAGAATTATTGTAAAGCTATAAAATGAAAATAAAGTGGCACTGGTATAAAGGCAGACAAACAGGCCAATGTGACAGAAGAATCCAGAAATAAACTGACATATACATGGGCAAATTATTTTTTAACAAAAGACACAAAGGCAATAAGGTGAAGAAAAAATAGACTTGAAACAAATGAATATTAACAGGTAATCACTGGATCTCTATTTGCACCATATACAAAAATGGACCACAGTCCTAAATGTAAATAGAAAAAAATACGAGAAAATCTTTGCAACCTAGTAGTTAGGCAGTTTTCTTAAATGTAACACCAAAAGAACAATCCATAAAGAAAAAAATGGCTACATTGAAATTGATCAAAATTTAATATTCTGGTCTTCAAAAGGTACTATTAAGAAAGGATTAGCCCGGCCAGTGTGGCTCAATGATTGAGTGTCAACCTATGAACCAGGTCATGGTTCAATTTCCAGTCAGGGCACATGCTGAGGTTACAAGCTCGATCCCTGGTATGGGGAGTGCAGGAGGCAGCCAATTAATGATTCTCTCTCATTGTTGATGTTGCTACCTCTCTATTCCTCTCCCTTTCTCTTTCAAATCAATAAAAATATTTTTTAAAAAGAGATGATTAAATCTGGGAGAAATTTCACCAAGGAGGTGAAAGTTCTGTACAATGAAAACTCTAAAATATTAATAAATGGAAAGCTATTCCATGCTCATGGATTGTTAAATGTCCATACTACCCAAAGCAATCTACAAATTCATTGCAATTCCTATCAAAATTCCAATGGCATATTTCACAGAAATGGAAAAAAAATCCTAACATTTGTATGGAGTTACAAAAGACACTAATAGCCAAAGCAATCTTGAAAAAGGAAAATAAAGCTGAAGGCATCACATATCTTAGAAAAAATATTGCAACTATCACACTCCTCCTGATTTTAAATGATATTATAAAGCTATAGTAATCAAACCAGTATGATGTGGACAACCAAGATGGCGGCATAAGGTATATACCTGTACGTGCCGCCCCTCACAACCACATTAAAACTAAAACTAAAAGACAAAACAGCTTTCATTCAGAACCACGGGAAAGCTGGCTGAGTGGAAGTTCTACAACTAGAAGGAAAAAAAAAAAGCGCATTGAGGCTGGGTAGGAGGTGCGGAGGCATCAAGAGCAGAGGTACAGAGGCGCGCGAACCAGGCTGCACCTAGGTGCGCAGTTTTTTTCAATCAGGAGATACAAGGTCACAACTGCACTGAACTTGTTTCCGGCGAGACTCTAGGGACCCAGACTCCTACGGGGAGAAACTGGACTGTCTGGCATTGGGTCGGAAAGCGAAGGTGGCTTTCTTGCAGAACTGCTCACAGAAATCATTGTTACTGTGGGGGCGCGGGACTCGGGACACGGAGACGCCGAGTCTCGGAGACGGCAGAGGACAGCCATCGCTGTTTGCTCCACCCTGGTGATTCTCTGAGACCCTGCCCCACCCAATTTACAACCCCACCCAAACTGTGCGCAGCGGTGCAAATGAATCGCCTGTCTTTTTGCAGCCTAACCTAACAAACTGCAGCTAGATCAGAGAACTCCAAAATTTCCAAACCGCAAACAAAGAGGAGAAATCTGCAGATCTCACGGTAGCTCCTGCTGGGTGGACTCACACAGTGGTTGAATTTGCAACTCCTTGGAAATCCAGGAGCCAGGGTACCCAGTGGTCAGATACTAGATTTCAACTCCTCACATCCATAAGTGACACACGCAAGAGGCAGACTCAGTGAGCACCAAAGCCCCACTGAAGCAAGTCCTGCCCCATAAGGGTGTCTCCAGCACAGCAGTTCTTCCACTATAGACACAACGGGTCCTTGCAGTCAATTGGCCTGAAGGTCATTTCCTCCCAGGGATACCAACAGCAATCAAGGCTTAACTACAGCAAGACTGTGCACCCAGCCCACAAAGGGGTGCACCAAGAGTGCCCACCTCAGGTGATTGGGGAGGCTGAGCCACTGGGCCCAATAGGACACCTACCACACAAAGCCACTCTATCAACACAAGGAAGCAGCCAAAATGCGGAGACAAAGAAACATGTCACAAATGAAAGAAATGGTGGAAAGCAAATTAACTGGATTTAGAGTTCAAAACCACAGTTATAAGGTTACTCAAGAATCTTCTACAAACCTCCAAGGAACTTAGTGAGACCTTCAAGGCTCTTAATGAGAAGGCCAAAAAAATGGAAAATGACCAGTCAGAACCTGAGCTACACTGACTGAAATAAAGAATAATATACAGAGATCCAACAGAAGACTAGAGGATCCCAAGAATCAAGTCAAAGATTTGAAATACAAAGAAGCAAAACACACCCAACCGGACAAGCAAAAGGAAAAAGGAATCCAAAAATATGAAGATAGTGTAAGGAGCCTCTGGGACAACTTCAAGCGAACCAACATCCGAATTATAGGGGTGCCAGAAGAAGAGAGAGAGCAAGATATTGAAAACCTATTTGAAGAAATAATGACAGAAAACTTCCCCTACCTGGTGAAAGAAATAGACTTACAAGGCCAGGAAGCGTAGAGAACCCCAAACAAAAGGAATCCAAAGAGGACCACACCAAGACACATCATAATTAAAATGCCAAGAGCAAAAGACAAAGAGAGAATCTTAAAAGCAGCAAGAGAAAAACAGTCAGTTACCTACAAGGGAGTGCCCATACGACTGTCAGCTGATTTCTCAACAGAAACTATGCAAGCCAGAAGGGAGTGGCAAGAAATATTAAAAGTGATGAATAGCAAGAACCTACAACCAAGATTACTCTACCCAGCAAAGCTATCATGTAGAATTGAAGGTCAGATAAAGAGCTTCACAGACAAGAAAAAGCTAAAGGAGTTCATCACCACCAAACCAGTATTATATGAAATGCTGAAGGGTATTCTTTAAGAAGAGGAAGAAGAAGAAAAAGGTAAAGATAAAAATTATGAACAACAAAGGGACAACAAATACATATCTATCAACAAGTGAATCTAAAAAATAAGTCAATAAAAAAATCTGATGAACAGAATAAACTGGTGAATATAATAGAAGCAGGGGCATAGAAAGGGAGTGGACTGACAATTCTCAGGGGGAAAGGGGTGTGAAGGGTGCGGGAAGAAATTGGACAAAAATCTTACACCTATGGATGAGGACAGTGGCGGGAGTTAAGGGCATGGAGTGGGGTGGGAACTAGGTGGAGGGGAGCTATGGCAGGTGGGGGAGAGAACATCTGTAATAGTCTGAACAATAAAGATTTATTTTTTTTAAAAAAAAAAAACAGTATGATGCTGCAATTTACAATAGCTAAGATCTGGAAACAACCCAAGTGCCCATCAGTAGATGAGTGGATAAAAAAGCTGTGGTACATTTATACCATGGAATACTAGGCAGCAGTAAAAAAGAAGACTCTCTTACCCTTTGAGACAGCATGGAGGGACCTGGAGAGTATCATGCTAAGTGAAATAAGTCAATCAGAGAAAGACAAGAATCACATGATTGCACTCATATGTGGAATCTAAGTAACGAAATAAACTTATGAACGGAGTGGATCCAGAGACATGAAAGTATGGAACAGAGTGTGGAATCTCGGAGGGAAAGTGGGGGAGGATGGGTGTGTAGGTGATAATCAACCAAAGATCTTGTAACATATATACATAAACCGTGGACACAGATAGTAGGGTGGTGAAGGCCTCAGGCAGGGGGTGAGGGCAAGCGGGAGGGGGTCAACAGGGAAAAAGGGGGACATATGTAATACTTTCAACAATAAAGATTAAAAATAAATAAATAAACAAAGTGTGGTATACCCACACAATGAAATACTACCTTATCAAAAGTAATAAATTATAGGCACACATAACATGGATGAATCTTAAAATAATCATATTGAGTAAGATAAGTCAAACATAAAGGAGTACATATAGTTAATTATATAGTAAAATTCCATTTATATGAAATTGTAGAAAATACAAACTAATCTACAATAACACAAACCACATAAGTGGTTTTCTGCAGATTAGTGGACTAGAAAGTGTGTGAGAGAGGCATTACAAAGAGATATGACAAAACTTTAAGGATAATAGATATGTTCTGTATCTTGACTATGGTAGTGGTTTAATAGGTATATACATGTGTCAAAATTTATCAAACTGTACACTTTAAATATGTGCAGTTAGTTCACTGTATCTCAATTATACATCGCAATCTCTCTTTTTTTTTAAATATATTTTATTGATTTTTTACAGAGAGGAAGGGAGATAGAGAGTTAGAAACATCAATGAGAGAGAAACATCGATCAGCTGCCTCCTGCACACCTCCTATTGGGGATGTGCCCGCAACCAAGGTACATGCCCTTGACCGGAATCAAACCTGGGACCTTTCAGTCCGCAGGCCGACGCTCTATCCACTGAGCCAAACTGGTTATGGTGCAATCTCTCTCTTTAATAAGCAATATCACCTTTTCCTTTCAGCTCTAAAACAAAAAGCTATTTTCTTTCCTTTCCACCCTTGATAGTATTACTCTCAAAACATTACAGAACTAAAAAAAAATTACCCCATATTCTCTACATTTTCAAAAGTGAACCCTTAGAATATCAATGCTAGGCACAGATGTTAAGGTTGCCAAGATACAAATATATTGACAAGAATATTTTCCCCAACCACCTACTTCCATAACCCTATACTAACAGTTTTGCCACTGCTATTTCCCTTTACAGGGGAATACATATGATTCTAATCATATCTTTATTTTGCATCATTATGACCCAAAGACACCCTTAGAAAAAATATTGCCACTATCTCCCAACCTTCTTTTTTTGCTGTTCCATCTTCGTTTTCCTTGGTAAGTTATGACATCCATACTTCTATTTAGTTTCATTTCATTTTCTCACATCTACCAGACTTTTATTTTTAATTTTTTTAATACATGTTTAGGAGTAAGGAAAGTATTTCTACACACCTCAAGAACTGGTCCGGCTCCAAGAATAATTTGTTCCACTCCACTGGCAAATCCTTTCTGACTGAGAGCAGTAAGGTGGTGAATAAGAAAGTTTGTGCTTTGAGTCTTCCCAGAACCACTCTCTCCTGAAATCACAATGCACTGATTCTTTTTGCGCTGAAGCATGGTATGATAAGCTACATCAGCCACAGCATAAATGTGAGGCTCAAGTTTTCCCAACTGGTGGTTATCATACATTTTTACATATTTGGGGTTATAAATAGGAAGAAACTTGAATGGGTTAATGACTATTAGAATACTGCCAACATAGGTATAAATTTTTTCATGCTTAAAGCGATTTCGTAGATTTTCTAAGAGAGTTTTCTCATTCAAATCAGGTAAGCTACATAAATCATCAAAGTCTTTCTGTTGAGGCTGTGGAAGAAAACCCCGTTCCATCATCCTGCGACGTTCTTCTGTTACCCGTAACCATGACTGAAGACTACCATAATGGATTGACCCATCAAGGTTTTTTTCTCTCAAAAGAAATCGGTAGTCCTCTCCACTTAGACGATTTTCCAGAGCCATTCGAGGCCACAACATCATTCGTTGAACTGGACAGTCTGTTGGATTGAGTATCCATTCTTCTCCACCAAATTCCTTTACCTCTGCTAGAACATAACATTTTGTTTTGTCAAGATGAAGTCTGTTTATAAGAGAGTCGATCACCTCAGCAGCTGTGGAGTTTTTTCTGGCAGGAATAGGACAGTAGATTGTCCCTTCTGAAATTGTCCCAGGATATATATGCAATGTATGTTCATTATCCTCAAAGCGTCGTCTTCCTCCATCATTTATATTCATATTGAATCCTGTCCCATCAGCATGAATAGTACATGTTCAGGATTGTGAAAACCATTTTCGTGGCAAAAAAACTGTAATATAAAAGATGTGAAACATTTAGAAGTCATATTACACAATCATTGCTTTCTGATGCTCAAGAAAGAAAGGTTTAACAATCATGTTAATTACATTTTTAGAACATAAAATCCTAAATCAGTATGGAAAGTCTTTTTTTTTTTTAATCTAATTGGCTTGCCCGGATCATGTGGTCCAGTGGTTAAGTGTCATCAACCTATGAACAAGAAAGTCACGGTTCAATTCCCATTCAGGGCACATGCCCAGGTTACAGGCTCAATCCCCAGTGTGGAGCATGAAGTAGGCAGCTGATCAATGATTCTTTCTCATCATTGATGTTTCTAACTCTTTCTCCCTCTCCCTTTCTCTCTGAAATCAATTTTAAAAATATTAAAAAGGAAAAAATCTAATTGGCTTTACTAAGTGATTCATGAATTGGGCAGCATCCCATCTAGCAATGTCAAGGAGGAACAGTCTTGAAAACAATCTCATTGAGACCACATAATATTACATTTTATTGTTTAAATGAAGACTCTTTCTAAAACAGCAACTTGCCAAAAATTGTTTCAATGTTTTATGTTAAATCAAAATCCAAGGAGTACAAAATAAAAAACTATTTTGTCTTTTACTATCTCAAATGTTTTTAAAGTACCTGAGATTAGAATTAGGTCCTTTCTTTATATCTGAAGAGCCTCTCTGAAGACTAAGATGGACAAAATAATCACACAAACCTAATCACCCTGCACTGAAAAGCTCTTATGAATAAAGCAAAAACAAGAAAAAATGCCATTGATGGAGCAAAAATTTCGTGAAATAGAAAACAGTAAGATGAGATCAGAAAGTAAACTATTTTAATTTAATTAATAATTAGATAAGAAAAACCTGCTAAAGAATAGACATATTCAAGAACTTCTATACTCTTGAGGAGAAGGGGGCAACAAAAAGATCATGCCCTTACCCTGGCTGATGTTGGTCATCGGTTAGTTAGAGGGTCAGCCCACACACCACAGGGTCATAGGTTCAATTCCCAATCAAGGGCACATACCTGGGTTGGGACACATGCGGGAGGCAATCAATCGATGTGCCTCTTTCACTTCCATGTTTTTCTTTCCCTCCCCCCACTTGTCCATCCCTGGGCCTATCTTAATTACTATAGCTCTATAAGTTTTGATATCTGGAAAGCATATCACCTCTATTTGTTCTTCTTTAACGTTACTTTCACTATTTGCTCTGCCATAAGAATTTTAAGAGCCACATACTAACATAAAATAACCTTTTGGCAGTTTGATATTGTATAGATTTTATAGATTAATATTGGAAAAAACTGGCATCCTATTGACTTCCCATTCATGAACACTATGTTATTTTTTTAATTATACTATTTTTCACTTCTAAGATTTCTTTCATTTTCATATCCACTTGATCTTTTCTCTCCCTCTTTAAATTTCATAATTGTTTTAATTTAAGGGATATTAATTGTTCACTTATCTCCCTGAAAGTCCTAAATATATATAATTTTATATTTTCCAAACTAAAACTTTAAACTGCTCTTCTGTATCCACTGTAAACTGCTCTTTTGATGATTGATTTTATTTTGTATCTTTCTCAGCATTAGATGGCTTAATTTGTTTGAGAATTCAGCTTTATAGTCACATTTTTTGATACAAGATTTTTTTGGTCTTTCATACATTTACTGAGAACCCACTATTTTCTACTTTTTAAAAACATAACCACAATACCACTAATTGCACCTTTAAAATTAACAATTTTTTTAATTTTTATAAATATTTTTAATTGTTTTTAGAGAGACAGAAAGGGAGAGGGAAAGAGAGAAACATCGATTGGCTACCTCCTGCACACCCCCTACTAGGGATCAAGCCTGCAACCCAGGCATGTGCCCTGACTGGGAATGGAATCTGTGACCTCTTGGTGCATGGGACAACACTCAACAAATCGAGCAACACCAGCCAGGCTAAAAATTAACAATTTTTAATATTACTATTTTTTACTTCCCCAGTGTTCAATTTTCCCATATAACTCATAAGTATTTTTCTTACAGTCTACTCAAATCAGGAGAGTTGTCCTGAAGTAACAGTATGGACATGCTATGAGCTGGCAGGTTCCTAGTTGTAAAGCTATGTTTGCAATCTCCTGAATCTCTAGGTATATGGCTTCATATAAACTGTGGCCTCTGGCACCAGTCAACAGCAAAGCTACTCCTTCCAGTCAAGCAAGCTGTACCTTGCACAACCAGGAGATGCACTGCAAAACTGTAGTCTGATCTCTAAAGGTGTACAAGATGGCAGTCCTAGAACTAAACTCAGAAATATCTCTTTCAACAGAGGAACCCTACCTATCCTGGCCCATGGTTTCCAACAATGAGACCAACTGTAATAACTCTTCCCCATTTCAACAAAGAAGCCAAACCTCTGTTGCTTTACCTGCAGTCTAGGCTCCGAGCCATAGCCTCACTCACTACTTTGTGTTCTATTCCCTTTCTGAAACATAAAAATGTTTTTCTTTTTTTGAGCCCCATGTATGTCCATTTGATTTTCTCTTCTTGTTACTTTATCAATCACTGCTTTGTGTTTGGGGGGAAAAAAGGTTGCCTCAAAATATCATCACAAATACATCTTGACAACAAGCCATGAGAGTTTATCAGAATCATCTGGGAAACATTTTTAAAATATACATTTCTAGGCCCAATAATGTTTCTGAGGTTGGGAAATCTAGGCAATTCTGTTGTTGCTGTTCCAGAGTATAGCATTTGGAAATCAATGGTCTATATTTCCACTCTCCACTCCCTTACCACTCTTCCCACATAGCAAGTTACTGCCAATGTTCTTTGAAAATATCACCAATTACCATAAAGTTGCCTAATCCAAGAGCCTCTTCTCAATTCTCATCCTAACACACCACACTGAAGTGGCCATCTTATTCTTGAAACTGCAATCACATGACAATTACTTTTTTTGCAATATTCTAATAGGCTCACTCTTTCTGATGCACTCTTATAACTCTTTTTCCTCACTTTAAAAATAAAAATATTCTCAGTTTCTGGTCTCAACCCAGTGCTCTTTTACCTGGATAATTTTATTTAGTTCTTTATAACTAGAGGCCCAGTGCACGAAATTCGTGCACTCGGGGTTGGAGGGAGGTACCTCAGCCTGGCTACGCTCGCCACCCATGAGCCCAGCTTCTGGCTGAGTGGCACTCCCCCTGTGGGAGCGCACTGACCACCAGAGAGAAGCTCCTGCGTTGAGCATCTGCCCCCTGCTGGTCAGTGCATGTCATAGTGATGGGTCATTCCGCTGTTCAGTCGATTTGCATATTAGCCTTTTATTATATAAGATTTATACAGTTGCCTATTATCTATGAATTTTTGTGCTACAATGGCAGAACTGAGTAGTTGTGATAGAGACCATATGTCCATAAAGCCAAAAATGTTTACTATGTAGTTTTAAAAGAAAAAGTTTATAGACCCCTATTTCAGGGTAACCATTAAAAACTATCTTAAAAGTATAACTTCTCAACTAGTAGAGTAAAAAAAAAATGGAATGATAAAAAATAATCAATTCCATGCCCTAGCCCAGGGGTGGGCAAACTTTTTGACTCGAGGGCCATAATGGGTTCTTAAACTGGACCGGAGGGCCGGAACAAAAGCATGGATGGAGTGTTTGTGTGAACTAATATAAATTCAAAGTAAACATCATTACATAAAAGGGTACGGCCTTTTTTTTTTTTTAGTTTTATTCATTTCAAACGGGCCGGCCCGCGGGCCGTAGTTTGCCCACGGCTGCCCTAGCCAGTTTGGCTCAGTGAATGTAGCATTGGCCCGAAGACTGAAGGGTCCCAGGTTCACTTCCAGGCAAGGGCACATACCTCAGTTGCGCTCCATTCCTGGCCCTGGTCGGGGAGTGCATGCAGAGGCAACCAATCAATGTGTCTCTCTCACATCAATGTTTCCTCTCTCTCTTTCTCCCTCTACCTTCCACTCTCTCTAAAATTCAATGGAAAAATATCCTCAGGTAAGGATTAGCCAAAAAAAAAAAAAAAAAAAGTCATTTCCAAAGAAAAGCAACAAAGGGGAGGTTTAAAATAGATGGAACAAATGGAAAGCAAACTAAATATATCAATTACTGTATTAAGTGTAAATGCTCCAGTTAAAAGACAAGGATTATCAGACCAGATTTTAAAAATCCAACTATATGCTGTTTTCAATAGACACAAAACTGTAATATGAGGAAACAGAATCCAGAAGACAAAAAAGATATACCATGTAAATTCTAGACAAAAGAAAGTCGGTATAATCTAAAATAACAACAAGCAAAATAGAAAAAGAAAACTGAGTTAAATATAACGTAGGTCCCTTTTAGGCCTTGCATTTTATAATTCTAATTGTAGGCCTGAGACCGTGGTCGGCAAACTGTGGCTCGCGAGCCACATGCGGCTCTTTGGCCCCTTGAGTGTGGCTCTTCCTAAGCCTTAGGAGTACCCTAATTAAGTTAATAACAATGTACCTACCTATATAGTTTAAGTTTAAAAAATTTGGCTCTCAAAAGAAATTTCAATTGTTGTACTGTTGATATTTGGCTCTGTTGACTAATGAGTTTGCCGACCACTGGCCTGAGACAAAGGTCTCTGGATATCATTTGTGATCCGGAAAAGCAGGAAACTGAAAAAGACTAAGTTAAGGAAAAAGTAGCAGACTGGCAAGTAAGTAGACTAGCAGGTATTAATAAAATAGTCTATAAATGAAAGAGAGAGAAAAAAGAAAGAGAAGTATGAGTTAAATGTGTGTTAGGAGCTTGGGAATACATCTTCACAGCTACAAATAGAATCAAGTAGAGAAGCAGAAACTGAAAACTTAAAACAATGTCTTCCCTGGCCAGTGTGGCTCAGTTAGTTCAGTGCTGTCCAGTGCACCAAAGGGTTACTGGTTGGATTTCCAATCAGGACAAATGCCTGGATTTCAGGCTCAATCAATAAAAAATTATTTAACTGATAAACTAAGGTT